CTTTTCCTAAGATCAATCTATTATTCCCACATGTTGCCTTTATTTAGAATTATTTATTTATTATTCTATATTGTCTATTTATTCATTGTCCTTTAGTACACAGAGAGTACTACCTACAGTATTCTTCTTTAGGGGTCCTAGAATAGAGCTTTATTAATAATAAGGGTAATGTGATAGTATTCTAAATTGAATTGAATTTGAACTCACCCCCTCTCAGTTAAAAGAGAAAGCAATCTACAAGGGTCCAGTAGCAATGCTTGTTTTGCTACAGTGTTAAGTTTATGATACAAACCTCAACCTGGTCCTCAGCTTGAGGACCAGTTATGCCTTACACACTACTAAATAGAGGGATGCCATCCTGGTGCTACTCCCCACATTGTGTTAGCAATTGTTGTATATTAATTCATATTGATCTTTCTTTCTTGTATTGATGTTTCTTTGGGGAATCCCTTCTCCCCAACTTCAGTCCATGTTCCAGTTACCAAAAGTAAACACTTGACACAAGCCAATATACTTCAATCCTCTAGATGTAGTGATTGTCTTGGTCAAATAGATCAAATATATGTTTCCTGGATTTTGCTGGCCAGGTAAGATTAGGGTTATTCTTTATGCTGATATTGACAATGTTAAAATTACTATAAACCTAGGACTTCCAAGGCTCCTTGTACCTCAACCACAAGTCTCTATGGGAAGCCAAACTATGAGTGAGCTTACCAAGGTCTGCAATAAGGGGATAATAATCAATGGTGTAAGTGATTTGTAAGATCTTAGGACTAGAAGATGATGGGCATTAGAAATACTAACTGCTTTGCTTATCTACTCTAGTTCCTTCTATAAAATTAATATCTCCATGTGACGCCAGAGTTCATGTGTGGAACACTTCATGCCCTCTGCTGTAGTACTGAGACATGGGTGCTTTCCAGGATATAACTGAGTCATGTGCACTATCCTTATAAATGCATTAAGTTATCACATGAATAAGTTTATCTGTGTGGAAATGGGCTCCTTATTAGAGGATGAGAGGCCTGACTCCTCCTGCTCTCTCAGAACTCTCATTGCCTTTACCCACTCATTAGATGACTCAGCAAGAAGAAACTCACAGTTGCCAGCAATGCCATCTTAGAATTCACAGTTGCCTTCACAATCATTGGGAGATACATTTATGTTTTCCACATATTCCCATTTTCAATATTTTGTTATAGCAGTACTAATTGAGTTATACAGTAGTAATATTTTTTATTATCAATGTGAGGTAGTACTCACAGAGCTTAGAATCATCACTTGAACATAGCAATTAATCCATAAATATTAGCTATTAGAAGCAGAGACATTTGCTCCCTCCACACACACAGCTTTTAAGTTGGATAGATTAATAAATCAAATTTTAAAAGAGGTAGCTTAGGTCGGGTTGCTTTCACTAGTAAAGAGTCTTGTTTAATATAGTGAACAAAAAGCACAAAGATTCAGAGCGTACAGGTATATGTGAGACTAAGTCTAATTCTCTGAGTTCAGGAAGAGAAGGGGAATTGACCCAGCTGATTCAGGGCCATCTGCACCCCCTTACTTGAGGAGTATCTATCAGTCAGGTTGCAGGAGGTCTCCAAGACAACCCCACATCCCTATTTAGAAACATTTTTCCTTATTGTCATCCTATTTACTCAGTAAAATCCTGTTTCTGTGTAGCCAGTTAATATTCCCACTACAGAGAGTTATTTTTAGACAGCCATAAAAGTACAAAAATGTGAAGAATCAAATATAAGGACAGAGATAAAAATGAGAGTATTTCTGTAATGAAAATATATGCTCAGTTCATTTTATTTAAGCCAAGCATTGGAAACTTTTTTCCACAGTGGTTTAGAGTAAATACTATTATTACTAAGCAGCCCACATGCTAAATAGCATACTTTTCTTGGTGTAGATTTCTGGAGGGATATGCAGGGGATTTGCATGCTTAATTCCCATTAGCACCTGTCACTGGGATTTATTATCCCACAGTTAATTCTCCACTTACCGGAGCCAAGAAATAGGAAGCCCTTGTATATGGATTGAAAGGAAGCTTTTTATTTTTCAAAAATGAGCTGCATTTAATGTTGGTTTCTTAAACACCTGCAGTATTCCAAACCTGAAAGGTCACATTCAGATACACTTTGGGTTCAATTTTATTCACACTTGATTTTTATTTCACAGCCAGAAAAGCCTACATATCATTTGAAAATGCACAGGGTGCTATTCAGGACTTGGCTCACTCTTCAAATCCATTGGCTCATACTCCTCTACTCAATATCCAAGAAATATTTATTGACTATGTGCTAGGCTGTGTTCTATAGTCTGGGCAAAGAGTGCTCAACATAATGGGAAAGATATCCTCCCCTTGAGATGCATACACTCTATTGGCAAGTATTTATACTTGCAGGTATTTATGGATGCACATATGCATATAGATGTATAAAATAAGCATTCAGATCCGTGGGTGATATGTAAAATAAGCGCTACTTGGGAAATCCAAGCAGGTGAATGGGATGGAAGGGGATGGCTTGTTCCTGTCTCCCAGAAATTAGTCAGAATCCTCTCTAGGCCAAGATACTTGAGCCCATATCTCAGAGACTTAGTGAGTCTGAGGACAAAAAATGTGACAGTTGGTGACTCTAAGCAGAGTGCTGATACAAAGGTGTTCTCTTCACATGTACCTTCCTTGCCCCAGTTCCTCTGCTCCCACTCTGCTGTTTCTCCTTCATCTCTACACAGCTTCTCAAACCATTCTCCTGCCCTCTTTAGGCTGAATTTCAGTATTGAACTACTTCGCCTTGCCTTATTGCTTACTGGTGCCTTTAAGGAATTAATTTCATGAAGTATTGAGCACTGAGTGCTTCAAAGACCCAATCAAGAGGGCATGATCATTTTAACCTTCCTCAGCTGCCCTAGATTTTGATGACCATGTGATCCTCCAGCCCACCAACCCCTACTGAAAACCCACTCTAGATCACATTCTGTGCTAAGGACATTGGGATGGAAAGACCCAGGTAAGTTCTAGTTGGGAAAGACAGCCAAAGGAAGGGAACAATGAATAACTTTACAATTTTGTTATTGTTTGAGACAGGTTCTTTTATACAGCCCAGGCTGTCCTAGAATTCCTGCTGTAGACCAGGCTGGCCTCAAACTTACAGAGATTCTCATGACTGCTGGAATAAAGAACACAGACCACCACACCTAACGCTTTGCAACTTTTGGAGTCTTGTTTACATAGCACTGAGTTTGCACAGGTTTCTCTTGTTCTTCTTGGGGGAAATGATAAAGAAAACCACTGGATTTAATCATAGTCCTCTCTGATGGTACTACTATTCAAGACACTGACAAGTTATCAGCACCATCCACCAAGGCAGGCATCATCCCCAGATATAGAAGTGACATAGAAGTTAAAACTGCCATTTAACAGAAGGCACCCTTGGAGTATCCTGGAAGGTGTATAAGCCAGTAACTCCAATTTTGGAGAACACAGACACAAACTTACTCTCATCCTTAACTGGAAAAAGTACTCTTGATTAGAACTGGCTGAGATAGAAAGAAAAGCTGAGAATCTTCTATACCAAATATCAATAATGACTCTATGCCAGGCTTTTTACCTATATATAACTCACAAAACTTACATAACATTACTTCTAGTAGACCCATTTTACAGATTAGAAAAAAAGACACGTGGCCTTTTGGGCCGATATCATTCAGCTGAAAATCTTTGTGGATTGATCCTCCATCTGGCCGAAGCACATGATTGTGACCTCTTACCTAAATATGGCGATGTGGCCACGTGGGGGAAGATAAAGAAAATTAAGCGGTTTAAAAGTGGCAGGCAGAGTCTCCATGGAAATAAAGAGGGCCTAATTTTGTCAGTGTCCCTCCCAAGAGTGACATTTCCAAGTCTATAAAATGCATCCGAAGCATACACAATTGGGTAGAGGTTTCAAAGAAACGGGGCAGGCAAAATCATGAGGCATTAGCAAAAGCTCTAGAAGAATATTTCAGAAAAAGAAACCAAGACATGCAAAAGTTACCTGGCCTGCTCACCTCAAGGGATTTATGAATATGGTTTAAGTTAGACTTGAAATTCACATTTTCTCTCCCACTCTTTCCTTCCTGTCCACTCCAGTGCCAGTATGTGTGTTTACAAGTGGCTTTCCACTTTGGGCTCAACTATTACATGCTAAAGTGTTAATTTTGAAATGCATTAATCTTAGAAATGGGATTTTCTAACAACGCTATCTTGTGGAGCATAACTGGTGTGTTCATACATTTGCCTTCCTTTTGTCTAGACTGGCCTTATTTTGCTCATTTATGCTTTATCCTCCTTTATCCTTACATCAGGAATTCACCACCTAACTACCCCAGCCCCCAGATATTTCTGAACTGTTGCAGATTTAGTCCTCACTCGCAGCTGTTAGGAATTTCGAGATTAATTCACAGGTTCCAAAATCTTGTTTAGTATCTTCAGATTTCTTCTGCCTCTTTTCTGGGAGTTTCTTTTGGTATTGCCTCAACACCCTTTACATGCTCAATCTCAGCAGCCACCAAGAACAGGCAAAGGAAAGCAGTGCCAGTGCGGAGGGAGTTTCCATTGATTTTTAGTTTTTGTTCCGCCGCAAATAGGTCACAGGCTCGCAGAGCATGAAACAGCGTGACTGGCGCTGACAACCCAAAGATAGTGGAGCTGGACCACCGCAAACGCATCTTGCCTGCCTTCCCATCTCTGAGAATAAGTTCCAGCCCGCCTCCGGCTTAATCAAGCACAACTCCCCAAATCCTAGCGCGAGTGCAGTCCTGGGGCGTCTGGCTGAGGCTCGGCCGGCTCCGGGACACTGCCAGGCTGTGGGTTGAGCTCCGCTGGACGGGGCCAAGTGGCCTGAGGCGCGCCCGCAGTGCTGGCGGAGCAGGAGTCTGGCGCCCGGCTGGAGGCTGCGCTGGCCCTGGCCATGGTAGCATCTGCTTCCAGGGGTCCCTTGTCAGCGTTGGTACGAGTGAGCGCGTGAACCCAGAGGACTCCACCTTCCACGCGAGGCGTGGATCTCACTCCATCCTCGCTTACATAAGGCGGGCGGGGGAGCGCGCTCCCGCCTCTGCTCCCCCCCTTTCCGCGCGGAGTGGGGCCGCGCCCTCCACGCCTCCTCTGCGAGCGCCTCCCAGGACCCCCGCTCGCCCCACTCCAGGAGGCGACTGTCGCCGGACCGTCGGGGGGGGGGTGGAGGCGGGCGGCAGCCGGGGCGTCTCTCTCAGGCACTGGAGCTCAAGGATAGGAGCCAGGAGCATCCCGCCCGCTCGCCTCTCCTCCCACTCTCGCCACCTCCCCTCCCCGGCGCCTGTGCGATCCCCCCGGGCTCGGGAACCAGAGAGCAGCGCCCGCTCGGCTGGTGGCGGAGCTGCGGGAGCGGCCGTGGTGGCCGCGCTGCGCCTCCCTGCATTTCCCGAGTAGGGGCAGAGCACTCGCCGGCGGGAGACGTCAGTGGCTAGGCACAGGGACGAGGGACCTTCAAACTCCTCCTCGGAGGCTCTTCTCCACCCCCTTTGGCCCCTGCCCTTGGAGAAAGTGGAGTGTGGCGCTCCGGCTGCTGTTATTTCTCAGGACTGCCTGGCGGTGGCCGGATTCAGCCTCCTGCCCGGCGGGGCTCTCTGCTGTTCGCGCGTCTCCCGGTGGCGTTCCCCTTCCTCGCACACCTCTGCCGACGATGAGGAAAGGTCTGCGGGCGACAGCGGCCCGCTGCGGACTGGGACTAGGATACTTGCTGCAGATGCTTGTGTTACCTGCCCTGGCCCTGCTCAGCGCCAGCAGCACCGGCTCGGCCGCTCAAGGTAAGGGGGTCCACCGGGCGCGGCGGTCACCTCCCTTTGCTTCTTCTGCCTACCCTCTTTTCCGCCTCTCTGTCTTCCTGGTGATCCTAGCTTCCTCGTCTGCCTAGTTGCCCTCAGTGGAAACCACTTTAAATCCCACTTTCCCAACTAGTTAAGAAACAGATGTTCAGTCTTAGCTGCGGAGATGGGTGAGGATGGACCCCGGGTGGGAAAGTGTAGCCACCGCCTCTTTGCCTGGGGCATCCTGGGGTGTCTTTTGCACTTTCAGCTCCACACTCGCACGTTGTTGAGCACTGTACACATGGTGGTTTCCAAAGGATCTGGATCGGGGCTGGTGGTGGTGTGGTGTGTCATATATGCACCCCGATATGCACTGTGTGCAGACTGCCCGCTGTGTGCGATGGCTGGCATTGCAAGATCGTCCCGCATCTCAGCTAAGGAAGTGTGTCCATTACCGCCAAGGACCTACAGGCACGGGGGCCCCCAGACTGCTGGTGGGGAGCTATGGAGATGTTCAGTTCGCCCAGAAAGGGCAGGCTCTGGATGTGCCTGCCTCTCCACTGGCAACCTCTCCGTGTCCCGCTCCTTGAAAAACTTGAAACCCACCACCCTGGTGGAAGACTTTAGTTGTCCCAGCCAAGTCTGCAACTCCCCGGGGAAGGGGCACTGCTAACCAGTTTATAACTGACATTTTAACGCATGTGAACCTTGAAGTAAGTGTGTGATATCCTGAGCAAAGCAGGGCTAGGAGGACCGTGATCCAGAGTTGGGAACGTGGAAAGGCAGATGGAAGGCACATAGACCAAGAGTCATCCTGGTGGCAGGCGCGGGGTGGCATAGGCGGAGGGGGTGGGGGGTCCCTTCTTGCTCATTTCCTTTTAGGGGGTGGTGCATCTCCCAGCGTTTCGATCTGAAAGGGGATAAAAGAAAGACAGAGAACGAAGGTAGATTGCCCTTTCCTGGTACATCTCAGGTCATCTAGGCATCTAACCAAAGCCCAGTTTCCACCCGAATTCTTCACCCATTTAAATAAAATGTATGTATGTATTTATGTTTGTTGTTTATTTAAGCTTAGTAGCCACGAGATAACAGAGTTTTGAGGCAGCGATTGAGAAGCAGTTCAGAGATCGTACACACACACACACACACACACACACACACACACACACACACACACACACCTGGTTTGTTTCACTTCTTTTATGAATTTGGAGATCTAGGGAGCCCAAGCCATAACCCTGACTCCTCCAATGATGATGTTTCATAGACTGTTTTTTCCCCAACTGCAGACTTCATCTCCTAAAATTTCAAGGCACTGGTGCAGGAAGAGGGTGATGAAGGTGGAAGGGAGCCAGCCCCGAGGCAAGGCAGGGGCTCAAGAAGAGGTGTCATTAGCAAGGCAGTGTGAATCTGAAACAGCTACTTAGGGAGTGCATTTTTCCTGCTCCATGACTAAGTGGCCATGCTCCTTCCCTTTTGGACTGATGCCTCCCATCCTCGTGGGTGACTGCTGCTTTCTTATGCACACCCCAGAGTACATCTGACCGTTTTTCAAGGAACTGTGTTGGAAAGCCCATGGTTCTTGAAATTGGTCAGAAGTTCTCGGGACTCTAACCAGGAATGTTTACGAGAGGATCTTAAGGGACACTCACTAAGCAGGAATGCTTACTGGAGGATCTTAGGAAGCCCAAGTGAGCAACCTGATGAACGGTTCTGGAATCAGCTATGTGAAGCTTGCTGGAACTCCTTGTCATTGTTGGGTGCACAAAGGACTAAGCCATTGGGGTTGAGGGGAAGGGTAAAGGATTGGTTTAGGAAAGGGCAAGTTAAAGTCCCCAAAGATGCCAAAAGGAGGCAGGATCCCTGCGGAGAGCTTACAACAGCCAAATTAAAAAGACTGGGTAGGAGAAGAATCGATTGAGATAATCAAACAGGGGACTGTAAGTGGATTAATATTGAAAGAAGAGAGCAGAGGCTAAAAGGAAAGGGGCTAGGGCTACTCGTTGCTTCTTGCACTTTTTCTTCCTCTACAGCAAGCAAGGCAAAGGCTGAGGATTAATTTTGATCTTAGCAAAAGAAAGGCATGTTCAGGTTGGGCAGCGTTTGTGCAGTATTTTTGGTGTGTTGTTTTCTCCATTTACTTTGGTTCAGGGAGAATAACATTTCCTCTCCCCCCCCCCCTTCAAATCATGTGGTCTGAGATGCAGGACTTCTACTTTTATCTTTGTTATCCTCCATGTTCCAGAGCACCAGCCCTTCCTGTGTTATCCCTGAGACATCAAAGGAAGTGTAAAGCACAGAAATCTGCTATCAGCTACTGTCCCTGTGGCTGCTACTCATTAGCCAGGCCTGTTTACTACTGACCTGCTGTTAACACTTTCTTTTCAAGTCTTTCACTGTAAGATGGTCTGGTAGGCAGCCTCCTATTTCCTCCACTGTCTCCTTTCTCTTCACTTTGCACTGGAGCTCCCACCCATACCCTCAAGGTGCCATTTGTTTGTCCTGATGCCTTGCTGACACCAGTGGACTATTTTTATGAATGGAAGTACATATGCAATTTGAACATGGACAGTCATTCAGTACTTTACAATATGAAGGTTTTTTAAACTGTTGGAGCAGTACTGTGAAAATACATTTTGAAAAAAAATGTGTGTGTGTGTGTATATATATATATATATATATATATATATATATATATTAGTTGAAAACAGTCCAGAAAGGGAGGGCATGTTTAAGATAGAACAGAGAGAGTATTATTTGTGAGCCAATGAGTTTTGCAACTGTGGTTTAAAGACAGACAGCAGTCATTTTAAACAGGTCCTTGGGAAATTCTCTAAGCTGTAGGCAACAACTTTCCCCTCACTGCATGTGCTCTAATTGTTTCATTGAGAATTGCTGGGAAAGCTTCACACCAGGGAATTGTCAGAGCTCCTGACTTCCAAGAACGAAAGATTTTTTTACTAGGAAGAGCAAGGCCTGTGTGTGTGTGTGTGTGTGTGTGTGTGTGTGTGTGTGTGTGTGTGTATGTGTGTGTGTTCATTTATTATGCCACTCTTACACAGATGTGTCACCTACTAATGTTGTGTGGTTTGTTCTGACACTTCCAAATTCATACCAGAAAATGACTGGACATACATGCCAGGGATAATTCTCATAGCACTATTGGACTTTGTGTTCCAACAAGTAACACACTTCTCTCAGAGTGGAGGAAAGAACACTTTCAGGATTTAATGAATGTTGTTGTGCTGCAAAGTAACAGTGGACTATTATGAAAACTGGATTTGAACATTATTTTCTCATATATTGCTCAATTGGGGGGAGGGGAATTCATGTATTCACTTTGGAGATTTACAGTAAGGAAAAACAGCAAGTTGGCCTTTGTTAGGCAAGTAACCCCATGTGTTCTAATTTAGAGAGTGATTAAAAGCCTCCAGAGAACAAGCTTTCAAAGCACATACTTTTATAAAAAAAATGAGGACTCATGGAGGAATGTAGTGGTATGCTTCTTTAAGACTCCCACTGAAGGAGGCTGAGGCATACCGATTGTAAGTTCAAAGCCAGCCTGCACAACAAAGCCAGACTCTGTCAATGAAACAAAAGAAATTGTTACATATAACAAACATCCTAGTTAAGCACAGAAGGATCATTTAAAGTGTCTGTCTTTGTACCTTGGGAACAGGTCATCATTAGAATTCATACCAATATATTTTAAACAATCCCTACAAGGATATAAGGTAGGCATGAGCTATATTAACCTAACCCTCTTTGCTTATTGAGGATTACTGTTGAGACTTAAATATAACTACCCTGTAATGAGTCCAGTATCAATAGGAAGAATGTCCTCCTTTAGGCCTTAACTGCACATAGTACTTTTCTGATTTGGGTCATGGCTTTGCTGGAGCAGCAGAGGGAGTCACATTCAGAAGAAACTCACAGGACAAACCCAGAAGCACAAGTGGCTGTAGCCATTTCTGGGAGATGTCCTGTATAGAACTCCTATAGTTCTAGCCTAGACTCCAGCCTTGATGTTTCAGCCTACATCACATTTAGTTGACCCTTGTGTTTGAGGCAGTTAAAACAAATCTGTTCCATTACCTATGCACTAAACAATTGAACAGAGTATTAGGAGTGAAGTTCCTAACGAATAAGTGTTTTGTGCTGCTATTATGTCCTGAACTGTTTTACTTATTGGAGGCTTAGACTTGAACAAACTATTTTCAACCTCAAAAATAAATAAATAAATAATAAAATGAAAAAGGGCCTGTCTGTACATAGCTTCTGAGCCATAGCAGTGGGTGCAGATAGGAGGCCAGGTCTCTGCCATAAGTGATGGTGGGGCCAGGTCCAACATTATTTTACATAGAGGATTAATGGTAATGATTTGGTTGTGAGTAGCAGGGAAGAAACACTCACTCGGGGTAGAGTCAATCCAGACATATACTCTCATTCCTTCTTGCCCCCTCCTCCATGGTAACTGTGAAATCACGATCCATCCACCTCCATCACCGCCCCAATCCCATCATTGGGATTACAGCTGCCCAGCAATATGCTTACCTTGGAAGTGGGGTTTTCTTGAAGATTGCATTTCAAAAGTATTACTTGTATTCAGATCCACCCACCTTTTTGTAATGGGGATTGACTTTGGGTCCTTGTAAATGCTATAAAATGAAGGTGTAGCCTCATCCCTATTTACTTAGAGTCAGTGTGTATTTTGTTGGGCTTTGGGAAGGGGGAAGCTAAGAAGTACTAATATTGTGCCCCTGTAATTTTAGTTAGCACAATCCCTCATAACATATTTCCTAGCTGTGTGACCATGCTTAAGTTAATTAACTTTTCAGTGCCTTGGTTTGTTCACATGTAAAGTGAGAAAATATATACTATAGGTTATACTAGGGATGGATTTCTATATGTAAATCAACTAGAGCATAGCTCACAGAAATTATGACAATTTCTTAGTTTCCAACTTTGTAAAACACAGAAAAAAGTGAGACAAGTGTACC